ACCATATAACAAACTCTGTATTTTGAGTGGAAATGTTAGGGGGTCGTCTTATACGCCCAGTCGTCTTATACGCCGGCAAATACGGTATGTAGAGGAGGAGGGAAGAAATGAAGACAACTGACAAAAACCCATTCCCTGGACAAAATTAATGGACAGGAAAGCAGTACAATGCCTGGCTCGGGAACCTCCATCATGGATAATATAATAAATAAATAAAGCCATCCAGTTCTCCAGGCTGTGCCTCTTGAAGCTGACAGTACTTACTTCTAGTGTTCTTTCTTCTTTGAGAATTCTAGGTCAAGTGTTGGAGAAAGGGTTCATAACCTTGTATTAAATGACTGCAGGTGAAAAGCGAATTGGAGCGAGTGCCAGTTCATCAAACAGGGATTAACATTTGGTGAGAGAGTGGACCTACAAGAAGGCCAAGTTATTAATTACCACCAGCTTTGTGCCTATAGTCAACATCTGTAATCCCACTGAGTCCCCAATGTTCAAGTTAAGCATCAGAAATTTAAAACAACCTGCCCAAGATAGTAAGTGGCGAAGCTAGGATTTGAACACAGCACTGTCACAGCCCACAGTTCATTCTTTCCCCTGTGTTCATGTTTGAAAGATTGAAAGATACCTGTCTGGCTTCATCTTCTCTTTACTCAAAAGAACACCTTGGTGCCCCATGGGAGCCTTTAAGGAGGATACCAGTTCCTAAATCTGAACTCCTATTGTGATTTTTTTTTTTTTTTAGCTGAGCCATCCTGCCACCTGTGGGCAGCTCAGCTCAGCATCGAACCGCTGTTGCTCAGAGCTCAAACTCTTGAGCAAGCTCTTAACCAACTGAGCCACTCGGCCGGNATTCATAACAGTAGCAAAATTACAGTTATAGAGTAGCAACGAAAATAATTTTATGGTTAGGGGTCACCACAACATGAGGAACTGTATTAAGGGGTCACGGCATTAGGAAGGTTGAGAACCGCTGGTCTAGGCTCCGTAATCACACATGGACTACAAGCTATTCTAAAACCTCTCAATTTCTGTCTGGTAGCTTTTCTAATTAAAAGTATCTGTCCATTTTGGGCAGCCCCTGAAAGAGGGTAGAGCTTTTATTTTCCGAACTTTGGGGTCAAGGCTGTAGATTTACCCACAGCACTTTTTTTTTCAGGTGCATGCTCCGAGTCCTGGACTCATTCGGCACCGAGCCAGAGTTTAACCACGCTAATTATGCCCAGTCCAAAGGCCACAAGACCCCCTGGGGAAAATGGAATCTGAACCCGCAGCAGTTTTACACCATGTTCCGTGAGTATTCATGTTTGCCTCTGCTTTCCAGAACACCATCAAAGATAAATGGGAAAAGAAATTCGATGGTCATGTTCAATATTTTGGGTTATGATTCCCAGGGCCCTGAACTATAGAAATGTGTGCTATTGAACCTTGGCCTTGGGAATAACTGATTTTGTGGGGTTTTTTTAATTGCAATTGAAAGGCTATGTGAACATTTTGTGAAAGGGATTTGGGTCGACTTTGGATTGGCAAACACTAACCCCATTTCATGCCACACAGATGCTGCTTAGGGTCCACTTGGTTAGTGATGAGAAATGAGGTCTTCCGTGTCCATACATTTTCCAAATAATTAAACGTTCATTTAAGCACCAAACTTTAAAGAAACAAGTTAGCCTTTTTTAAATGGAACTTTTAAAAACACTCTTTCGCACTTTTCTGGCTTCTTAACCACTGGGCCCAGAAGGAAATCTGACCTTCTCTTGCTCACGTGGCGTCATTGTTGCCGATAGCAATGATTATTTTAGGAGGTGATGTAGTAGGCCCACTGAAAGGTGACCCACTAATTGGCCCCAACTGTAGGCTTTTAGCGTTTTTCTGTTTTGACAGTGTTTTGTTTTGCCCACATTCACCATTTCCTACTGCTGCTATTAGTTGACCTGCCTCTAGCCCCATTTCATTTATAATAGCTGAGTACTGTGAAGCCAAATTTGACAGTATTCACGCCAAAAATAAATTGTTTTAAGTCAGTAGATCTTGGTGATGAGGTGAAGTCCTGTCTGGAAATGAAAGGTCACATGGGTAAAACAGTTCATTTGGATGCTCAGAGTGGAGAATTCCCAGTTTCCAAAATTATCAGATAATTTTAATGCACAGGTTTCCATCCTAGAATGAATATCTGAGGTGTGAATTTGTTTCTTTTGTTCAGTTACAACCCAAGGGACGGACCCCCTACCCTGACTTTTCCTTTGTGGTTGCCTCTCCCCCTTGCATGCAGCCACCTGAAGATGACCCTTTTCTTGGGTTCACTAAATATAACAGCAGATACTTTGGACTAATCCCTAGATGTGTGAGGTGTAAGAAGGGAGAATTAAGAAGGGTTACCTTTAAAAACCAGCTCATGTTTAAATGTTCTTTTTAGTTCAGAGAGACTTGTAAGAGAATGTTATGTGCATAGTAAAATGATGGTTACTGTTCCTAGAGAGCTACGAGGTGTGATCCAACAATATGGTGAATGTTTAAATTAAAATTATTACAGTAAAAGACACATTGCCATTAATCCCCCTCACAATACCCAGGGGGTGCCAAAAAAATGTATACAAGTGGACACTTTGGTCAGTGTTGCTCAAGTAGTAGTTCAATGTAATCAGAAGTGTCTGGATGCTGATGGTAACCACTTTGAGCACCTCTTGTCATTGCAGAAGTCCAATGTGACTTGTATTTATCTTTTGTTCTTGGTATATATTGAGTATTTTAATTTTAATAGTTTTTTGGGTTTTTTAAGATTTTTATTGGGGAATTGGGGGATGGGAACAGCCGTGGGGAATTGGGGGAAGAGTCCTTTTGTTCTTCTGTCTAGTTGTGGAGGACGTTGCTTCACTGGCCCAAGTTGGCTCCATCATGGCGCTCTTCCCGGGCGAGGCAGATCAGTCGCCGGCTTCTGGATGGCCGCTCACTGCAGCTGAATGGCCGCTCATGCTGGCTGCTGGCTATACACGGTAGCCTATGACAACCCACTGCAGCAGGGGCTGCAGCCTACACCATTGCTGGTGACTCATGGCAGTCCAGCTCCAGGTTGAGCTGTTGTTCAGCATCTTAGCTGTAGAGGGCAGTGTCACTGGCCCTCATATGTGGGATCCGAACCGGGGCCCTCTGGCGTCCCAAGCCAGCTCTTAAGCAACGCGCCACTCGGCTGGCGCAATAGTTTTCCTTTCTTAAAATGTATATACATTTTTTGGGTACCCTCTATATTAGTGGCGCCCCCAGGATGTATAAAGAGCTTCTAAGAAATGAAGAAAAAGTTCTACAATCCAATATGAAAATGGGCAAAATTTATTACCAGTTCAGAGGAAAAATAAATTTACTGCCCCAAACATATGAAAACACATGAACTTCCCTCACAATGAAGAGAAACACGTTTTCAAATGGCATTGTGATATCATGTCCCGCATATCAGATTGGCCAACATCTGAAAGTTTATTAGCATAGCTATTCCAATGGTGAGACTCAGGCAAAGCAGTCTTTTCCCACCGTAAGTAGTGACAATGCACATGGTACTCAGTGTAGGAGGGTGTGTGTTGCCACCTAGCAAAACTACAATGCATCTTACCTTTGAGCAAATTATACCTAGGAGTCTATCCCAAAGATATGTGAGCAAAAATAAGAAATGGCTTGTTCACAAGGCCATTCATCGTGGCACGATTTATAATAGGTGAAGACCAGAAATAACCCAAATGTTCCCATAATGGGGTCCATTGATAGAGTGAAGTGCTGGTTAACTGCGTGAAGTAATGACAAAGGTGTCCACTGCTCTGGAGCAAGATGTCCAATTAGGTGATAAAAGTCAAAGTGTAGGGTAGTGTTCAGAGTTACTCCATTCTACATAAGAAGGGTATGGAGGAGGGAGGAACGTGTGTATACTTTAGTGTATATCACTTTGCTTGTACAGTATTTTCAAAAGAAAGAATGGAAGAATAAACAACAAGCTAGTGACAATGATTTTCACTGGAGGAGGAGTGTGCAGAGTCACCAATAGAAAGTGGATATCTCTTAATGTACCCTATTTTGACTTTGGAACCATGTAAATATTTTACATAATTTAAAAAAAACCCAAAGTAGGAAAATATTCACTAACAACTGAAACAGATTGAAAAAAAAAAATGAAACAAACCGAGTGATATATTAGGTTGGTGTTAATCTCCCACACTGAGAAAATAATTATTTCAAGTGACTTTAAAACACAGTCTTTGGAGTATACATTTATAGTGGGAAATATTTATGTTGTTATTTGAAACTATTGCAGGTATAGTGTAGGAACCAAAATTTTCAGTATATAAGAAAGGGGGAGTACTTAAAGAATTTAAGTAAAGAGTGTGTAAACGTTCAACTTGAGTAGGAAATATCTATATGAACTTATTTTTTCTCTTTAAAAAGACAGTGTTTCCCAGCTCTATACTTTGAAAAGGATCAAAAGTAAAGATGACTCACTTGCAAGTATTTTTAGCACTCAGACTGGAATTCCCTAATACCTTTCCCACTAAAAAGAACCTCCTGCTCAGATTAAATAGCTGATTCCATGTCCATGGCAGGAAACAGGCAAGATGGGACATGTCATGACAAAAAGCAAGGAAACTAAGGCAGACCAGTGGGATGGAGTCAGAAGGACTCAGGAGCCAAATATGGGGGTAGTTAGAGCACCAAAAACAATAATGACTGCATGAAATCAAACCAATGCCAAATACTCCATCAGCCTAGATTCCATGACACTTCAAACAAAGAAAACCCACAAAATCAATAGGTCACCTTTACAAGTTGCCAGGACACCACTTTAGTACTCTGAAAACTAAAGGAGAAGAATCCAGCTTTAATCCTGATTTTCTAAGATAAATTGTATTTGATGACCATCAAATAGTTAATGAAAGCTGTTAATCATGAAGAAATCACAGCTCATAAATGCAAAGGGATGGGAGAATTAGAAAATCAGCACTGTATAACTCTGAATGAGGTAATGGAGCCAGGCCCCATCCTCAGTGTTTGCTAATTCATCAAGTAAAGGTTGATGGGGAAATTCCTCCTGGTTGAAGCTGCCTTGGATGGAGGAAATAAGGAAATGAAGCAGTTTGAGGCCTTTCATCATGTTGAGATGTGTCAGTTGGAGAATTTGCAACAGAAAACAGTGACTCTTGCCCCCTGCTTCCCAGAGCCTGTCCACAGAGAGCTTGGGTGCATCCTTGAGAGAGGAGCCCTTCCTCCCACATAACAAAGGGGTGGGGTCCAGTCCAACCCAGCCCAGTCTTCCCCAAAGAGTCCTTTATTCCCTCACTCTTAGAGAAAATGTGGCTAGTCTAGTGGTCTGAATGACCATGCCTTTGAGTATAAGAAGAAAATGTCAGAAGTTATAGTTCTTGTTAATTATTAAAAAACAAAACAAATTTACTTGTGCTTACTATATGAGCTGATAGTAATCATTCTATAGTTGGTGTATATATATGCACGTGTATTGCAGATTGTGCTTAAATCACTTTCCACTGGTGGGTGTACAATGAAAAATTCGGAGAACTGCAGAAATAGAGTGTTGTGCTTGTAGAATCAAGTCATCTTCAAGTGCAGCTGCCTTACTTTGAGATGGAGCAGTGTGCTGGCACATTTGGAGTCTAGAATGAAGATGGGAAGCCAGGTCAGAACGGGCCCAGCAGGAGGATAAAGAAAGAGAAACACGACCAATGGTGAAGCATTTTTAGGAGCCACGAGATGAGATACTCCTGACCGGAATGTGCTGCTTTCAAATGCAGTAAAACCTTGGATTGCTAGTAACTTGGTTTGCAAGTGTTCTGCAAGACGAGCAAACATTTTAATACATTTTAACGTGGTAAACGAGCGATGTCTTCCAATACAAGTAGTTTCTTTCTGGAACAAATTATGCTCGCAAACCAAGGTATTACTGTATTTGGAATCCATGTCTCACTTGGAGGCTGCTTCTCTTTCCTCTCTAACTCTTTTCCACACTAAGTTGGTAGAGTTTCTGTCAAGTTGAAAAGCCCAGTTTTTCTTTACTGTTTTGCCCCAAATCTCAGAATTTCACTGGAACCATCCTCTCTGTGTATTCTTTTTACGGTTGGGTAATTTCGTATGCGTCAGCGTAGACTTATTTCTGACACCTTCCTAAGCGATTTCTACAGGGAACAACCCAGGGGTCAGTAAAAACTAAGGCCCTGTGACTAGATGTATTGAGTGATGGTTTTTTTTCCAAGAAGCTGGGAAGTTCAGTTGTTTCTCCCTTGAGGCAGGCCCCTCGTTCC